AGTCTCATCTTTCCCTTTAGGTGGTATTTTATTCAGGATATGATTTGCTGTCAAAAACAGCTTGCCCTCCACATGTTCTGTGGTAATCCTGAATTAATCAACATGGCATTCATCATTTCTTTTAACGTACGGTTCTTGAGTTCAGCAACACCTTTCGACTGTGGAGAATAAGGGGCCGCCGTTTGATGAATTATGCCATATTCAGAACATATTTGTTAAAAAGGAGCTACATACTCTCCACCCCTATCACTTCGGATTATTTTAATCCTTCTACTTAGTTGATTTTCAACTTCGGTCTTATATATCTTAAACGCTTCCACAGCCTCATCTTTGCTTCTTAACAAATATAAGTAGCAAAACCTTGTGCAATCATCGATAAAAGTTACAAAATACTTTTTACCGGTTCTTGATTGCACACTTTTCATATCACATACATCAATATGGATCAAGCCTAATGGTTCAGTACTCCTTTCCACCGAGTGAAAAGGCAACTTAGCCATTTTTGCTTCAATACACATTTCACATTTGGTATTTTTATCAACTTTAGAATTAGAAATTAATTCTAATTTCATCAACTGTTTTATCGCATTTAGATTTACATGTTCCAATCTAATATGCCATACATCAGAGCACTCAACGGTATAAACAGAAATAGGCTTTTTATTATCAACGGTTACACGGCTTACAGCCATTACATTCATTTTGAACAATCCCTTGTCGAGATAACCACGACCAAGGAATATTCCGTTCTTGCTAAGAATAAAGTTCTTAGCTTCAAACACCAGCCTAAATCCATGCTCAACAAGAAGTGATCCAGAGACCAAATTCTTGCGGATATCTGGGACATGCAGAACATCCTTCAGCTTCAACTTCTTTCCAGAAGTGAGCTTCAGCACCACAGTGCCACTCCATCCACATCAGACGTGGAGGAGTTTCCCATGTGAAGTTTCCGACCCGCAGTAGGAGTGTATTCAGAGAACACCTCCTTGTCAGAACACAC